AAAAAAAAAAAAAACTTCAAAAAACTTTAAAAAAGGAAAAAAAAAGAACCGAGACATGCCACCTTTTCCCTTCGCACTGTTGCTTTTCCTGATGGTTAATACTACTGTCACGTAGCTGTGTTCAGAGATGTGAAATACTTTCAGGCAAAAATAAACTGTAAGTGACTCATTGACATCTGGCCTCTCTGTGTGGCTTCAAGGGGGCCTTTCGGTGGGGGTGGGAAGGGGACAAGACCCAGGCCGAGGTCAGGACTCCTGAGTGTCCAGGGCTCCTCATCCGTGGCACTGCTGACATGTGGGGCCAGATCCCCCTTTGTCATGAGGTCATTCTGGGCATCCCGTGATGTCATGCGACCCACCCCCAGTCTAACAACCCAAAACGTTTTGCCCCCAGGGGACAAAATCACCCCCCAGGGGAAACCCCAGGCTGCCAACGTGTGCATCAGGGCCCTTATGGCAGTTCTAATTTAGAACTTCTAGCACCGACGTGCCTTTCCTTCACCTGGGGGTCTTGGGAAAAGGCAAATTCTGATTTCCAAGGTCTGGAGGGGGCCCGAGACTCTGCCTTCCTAGGACCTGTGGGCAACGCAGATGCGCTGGTTTATGGAAGCTGTTCCGAGTTCAACAGCCTGGAACCTTCCGTCTAGCTGCCCCCTCACCCAGGTGTCCCCAAGAGGCACTTCAGTGTGTCCAAGGAGAGACTTTATTTCCACCCCTCTCCCAAGTCCCTTGCTTTCCAGGGTTTCCTCACCCAGCAGGGGCGTTACCCCAGCCCAGTGGCCCCATCGCTCACGCCACCCCACGTCCGGGCCACTGCCAGCCTTCAGAATGTTCCTGTGTCTCCTCACCCATCTGTACTTCCACCTCCTTCACCCTAAGCCAGGCCCCTCATCTCTCTCCGGAAGACTGGAGCGGCACCCTCACCGCCTCCCTGGGTCCATCCTACACCACCTTCCTACCCTCGCTACCTGCCCTGCCTCTCCACATCCCTGCTCCCCGTCCCTGGCCTCCTCGCCTCCAGAGGCCTCCGTACACCCATTAAGTGACAGCCCAAGAACGTGATGGGTTATTAGCTGCTCCACCTCTGGCCACACAGGGAAAGCAGGTGCCACGGGTGAGGACCAGGAGGGCCCTGGCTTCATGATGGCCAGCGCTGGTGGAGACGTGCGTGTGCAAGGCACTGCTCCCTACCCCATCGCTGATCCTTCCCACCCAGGGGAGGGCCTGGCTCACACCAGTGCACGTAACTACCAAATGCATGGGGTGGGGGGGGGGCGGTCCCTGCCAGTCATCCTGTCCTCAACCCTCCTCCTCACTCTGTTCTGCAGCACCTGGGATCCTCTGCCCACTGGCTTCTGGGGGAGCCTGGAGAACGCAGGCTACCTGGGGGAGGTCGGGAGGCTGGAAGAGAGAGGTCAAGGTGCTTCTTCCCCTGGGCATCCCAGCTTCACGGTAGCCTCCCTCCACAGCTCCGGCTTTGGGAGTACTACCACTCTGACCCCCCGCGCTTAGCCTGGTCGGACCTGCCCGCTCCTGCTAGCTTGGGAGCCCCACATCCTTTGACCTCACCTGCCCTGCAGGAGGCCCCGAGTCCGGCTAGTGCCCTCCCCCTGGCACGGCTGAGCCTCACTGTGGTCCCTTTTAACCCGGTGGCTTAAAACAACAGAAATGTATTCTGTCGTGCCTCCGGAGACCAGAAGTCCACAAAGTCAAGATGTCGGCAGGGTTGCACTCTCTCTGTGGAGAAGACTTTCCTTATCTCTTCCCGCTCCTGGGGGCTCCTTGAGGCGTTCCTGGCCGTGGCCGCACTCCTCCAGCCTCTGCCTCTGTCTCACATGCCACCCACCTCCCCACTTCTGCATCCAGTCTCCCTCTGCTTTCTCCTATCAGGACATCTGCCATTGGATTGAGGGCTCACCTGAATGACCCACGATGACCTCATGGACAGGTCCTTAAGGTGATCACATCTGCAAAGACTTTTTTTCTAAGTAAGGTCACAGTCATATGCTCCAGGTGAATGCATCTTCTGGATTTGACCCACTAGAGGGCAAAGAGGGGGGTGAGATGAGCCCATATTGCCTTCATCATACTTTCAAGTCTGGGATTCATCCTGAGGGCTATGAATGACAAGGAGATTGTAATTCTCTACTCATTTTCTAACGAAACACTTCCATAGCCCCTACCGTGTCCCAGGCAGGGAAACAAGGGTTTTGTATGTCGTCTGAACTCACTGACTCCTCCTGACAAGCCCATGAGGCAGGGACTAACAGGACCCCTCTCGACCAACGGGGAAGTGGCGGCCAGGAGAGGCTGGGTGTCTTGGTCAAGGTCGCACAGGGAGCAGGGCATTTGGGGGAGATCTTTGCACTGCTGGCTGGTGAATGGATGGGGCTGGGACCAGGGCAGGGACCATGTCGAGAAACAGATTCAAGAGGAGCTTAGGAGTAAAACTGCAGAACATGGTGATTGGTAGAGAGGCAAGACCAGCAAGGAGTCAAGGATGCCGTTCGGTTTCTCGGCTGAATCCCCAAGGCAGGCTTCGAAGGGCCTGGAATTAGCACATCTACCTGACAGCAGTTCTCAAGGACAAGCAGGGCTGGTATGTCAGTGCCCCGGCTATCTCCCTCCTTCTCAGGAGTGCCTGAGAAGAGAGGAGTGCACTCCCTAGGGGTGCCTCCACGCACGGTCACCAGGTAGGTCCGCCCAAACCCTAGCCAAACTGGAAGCACTCTACAGCTGGGGACCCCAGAAGCCACTTGCACCTGTGTTCAGAGCTGGAGCTGGTGGCTGACGGGAGTTTTGCTACACGGCCGGGAGGCATAGAAATTGGTTCGACGGCTTTGGAAAGCATACCAGCTAAAGCTAAACACCTGCCCACCCTGTGACCCCACAGCTCCGCTCCTGGGCACGCACTCCAGAGAACCGAGTGCTCATGTGCACCAAGAGACACAAACAAGAACGTTTATAGCCAAAAAACTGGAAGCAACCCAAATGTCCACTAAGAGGAGAATAAACAAAGCAGGGTAGTCACACGGCGGGACTGCGCACGGGTCCCCATCAACAGGAGAATGAATAAAGACACAGTGACATAGTCCTATGATGGAATTCTGCAGAAAAGGACCAAAAGAGTCAACTATGGATACCCACAATGAGGTGGATTAATTGGACAGATGTTATGTGTGTGAAAGGAGCCAGACATAAATGAAGGTTTGCCATCGGATCCCATTTACATGAAGTTCATGAACAGGTACCAGGCATCTATGATTATAGAGGTCAGAGCAGTGGTTATTGGTAGCGCAGGGGTGGAATGTGCTATTACTGACTGGGAAGGTAGCAGGGAAC